AAGTATTATTACCCTCGAACCAATGAGTCAAATTTAAGAAACAACCCACTGTTAGAAAGCTGAATGGCTACGCTTTAAAATGAATGTAAACTTTAACGATTTCGTCTATTATTTGTTTAGCAATTTACATTTCAATCGAGGATTGCGCTTTTTTTGATACACCCTGTAGATTACATGATATTTGTCAATAAATTAATCTTTTTATTAACATTTCTATGGGTTTCTTCAGACAAATTATTTGTATTTTAACATCTATATTTGACAAAAATGTCTTAGAAAAACAAAGCTGATCCGAGCACATATTTCAGCCATTAAAACAATCCATCAAAAAGATATAGCGTATTTATAATATTTAGCACATTGAGTGGCAGCACTCTGACCCTTTGACAAGTGAAATCGCCTGGTGTTAGCCAGAGTAAAATACTAGTAACGTAGGGGACATCAGAGCGCATTGCCACTACAGGGTTAAGAATATCTTGATGGTTATTTCAACCATATTTCAACACAGCTTGGAAAAGCGTACTAGTTCACAAAAACCATGCAATTCATGTTTAAAGACTGGTCATGCAGAACAACTGGCAATAGGACTCTTGTACCACACTGGGGTGTGGAATGTATTGGTATTTTATCAAGAGGTTGTACTGACGTTACGGGACAAAACTCTATAATGCTGCTTGGTTACGCGAGTGCATTTCCTAATTTTGTACTGGATTTTTGACATGTTTTGTCAAAAGTATGTTTATTGCAAAATGTATAAAAGTCATAGTGCTAAAATAAAGAGATTTATAACAAGAGTATGTGGTTTTTTTGTTTTTTTTCTAATATTGTTGTAAACATGGCAAAATTTACAATTCAAGAAACAAGAATGTAATTGTCCATGCCCACAATTTTGTTTCCCAAGGGTAGGCCCACAATTTTTCCAGGGAGGGGGAAGGGCCCCAGGTCGGAAACAAACATCACTATTTAATCCGCTGCAGGTTTACTGAGCTCAGAGCGGATTTTATCTATAAGCTTATAACCAAATAGATCACTTGTTTCGCTCTATTAATAATCATATAAAAGTCTATAGCCGAATGTCAAAGTCTATAGCGGGTCTATAGGCGAACAACAAATTCTATAGCCGAATGACAAAGTCTATAGCTGAATGACAACGTCTATAGCCGAATGACAACGTCTATAGCCAAATGACAAAGTCTATAGCCGAATGACAAAGTCTATAGCCGAATGACAAAGTCTATAGCCAAATGACAAAGTCTATAGCCGAATGACAAAGTCTATAGCCAAATGACAACGTCTATAGCCGAATGACAAAGTCTATAGCCATGCAAATGACAAAGTCTATAGCCGAATGGCAAAGTCTATAACCAAATGACAAAGTCTATAGCCGAATGACAAAGTCTATAGCCGAATGACAAAGTCTATAGCCAAATGACAAAGTCTATAGCCGAATGACAAAGTCTATAGCCAAATGACAACGTCTATAGCCGAATGACAAAGTCTATAGCCATGCAAATGACAAAGTCTATAGCCGAATGGCAAAGTCTATAACCAAATGACAAAGTCTATAGCCGAATGACAAAGTCTATAGCCGAATGACAAAGTCTATAGCCAAATGACAAAGTCTATAGCCGAATGACAAAGTCTATAGCCAAATGACAACGTCTATAGCCGAATGACAAAGTCTATAGCCATGCAAATGACAAAGTCTATAGCCGAATGGCAAAGTCTATAACCAAATGACAAAGTCTATAGCCGAATGACAAAGTCTATAGCCGAATGACAAAGTCTATAGCCAAATGACAAAGTCTATAGCCGAATGACAAAGTCTATAGCCAAATGACAACGTCTATAGCCGAATGACAAAGTCTATAGCCATGCAAATGACAAAGTCTATAGCCGAATGGCAAAGTCTATAACCAAATGACAAAGTCTATAGCCGAATGACAAAGTCTATAGCCGAATGACAAAGTCTATAGCCAAATGACAAAGTCTATAGCCGAATGACAAAGTCTATAGCCAAATGACAAAGTCTATAGCCGAATGACAAAGTCTATAACCAAATGACAAAGTCTATAGCCGAATGACAAAGTCTATAGCCAAATGACAAAGTCTATAGCTGAATGCCGTCAACCTGATCGCTAATTTCATATGACGAATGGTATGTTGATAAACAATTCAGGGACCGCGGAGCAGGGGGGGGGGGGGGCTGGGGGGCTTTAGCCCCACAATAATTTTTCATACATATCTGATTTTAATATAGCGCAGATAGCACTTTTCTTTGCGTAGTCCAGAAAAATATCAAATGTCTGATTTGCGTGTTTCAGAATTCCAATTCTATTTCCAACCAGCGAAACATATAGCTCTTATAAGATATAATGAAAACTCTTATAAGATAATGGGTTTCTAACAAGAAATTATTACACAAATCACGTTCTCGCTTACACTTGAAACAAGGCTAAGCTTGTATATACCATTGTCTATAGGACTAATTACTGGCAAACTGTATACCAGTAAGGACTTTATTGTTTCATGAGCTTATAGGATTTATAAACGGGTAATTTTCCCGGAATTTTCTGATCACGTGAATATAATGCGCAACGGATATAGGAGTGGTGACAAATATTTATAACAGAATGCGCATCAGGTTCACTCTGCTGTTCAATTTGCCACAGTAAAAACCCACATAAAAAAGCACTATTTTGATGTCAGGCTGAAGTAGTTTTTATTTTGTTCTTATATCTTATGGGTTGTTTTAACTTGCTCTGATTTCTAGTCAAAAACAATTGTTTATGTTTAATTGTTTTGATTTTCTCGGCTTAGACAACGTTAATTCTTAAAATTACTCAGTGGCTAATTACCTCATAAGATGGATCGCAGTCTGTACTTTATCCGATAAAAAACACTAGATTGACGCCTCGTGTTTTATATCTGATAAGGCACTCTGCTCGTGTTTTAGGCCCCCTTTACCTTGCCAGCCCGGGTCAACCCGTCTACGAATAAATCTCTATTAGCGTTTACACGATAGCCGGGTCAACTGTTCACACCTCGCTAACCCGGGGCACCCTTCTCGAGACCCGGGTCGACCCGGGTTGGCGAGGTGTGAACGCGTGAAAAGTTTATTCATTTCTTCATGTAAAGCCGGGTTGGCTTGACCCGGGATCATGTATTAAAAGTGCGGTAAATTCATGATTGTGAACTTTGCACCTAGCGTCATATCGAATTTCAACATTTTGCGTGCGTATTTTCTCCGTCTCTGTTTAGTACAGGCATCTCTGAAGCATTATAAGACGGAGCTGAGATGGATTATGAAAATATAGATTTCAACTCCGATGTTGTCGCAATGTATTCAAAGTTGCGCGAAGGTATGGCGTTGGCGTTCGATGCCGAATATTTGAGGGGCTATCAAAAAAGAAAGAAAACGTCTTTAAGGCAGAATTAAGTTGCTATACGGTTAAATCCCTGATAAAAAGCAGGGGGCCAAAGGGATATAATCGTATACTGAAAGATATAAGAGCCAAAACTAAAAGGAATATGATCGTATGAGCTTTATAAGGGATACAAAATACACTCTGCTCCAGTCTGTTGCTCGGAATATTACTCGAGTCAGCCTGGGTTGAGAATTGCTGACCCGGGTTGGCAAAAATTGTCGTCAACCCGGGTTCATGTGAACAGAAATTACAGAATAAAAAAATAACCACCTGTGGCGTGCTGACCCGGTTTGAAAATCAATCCGGGCTCGTGTGAAGGGGGCCTTCAATAGTACATATAACTGCCTACTATACATTACCTACCCTTAGAATTTGCACTGTAAAGCTTTTTTTATTAAGAACCATATTATATATTGTAATATGGATGATAGCTTCATTATGCCAAAAATTCATTGTCTTTTCTAGATTTTCTACAGTATACTAATTCGGCAAATATACTTTAAATCACACACAAAATTAAATGCTGTCCTAAAATTAATTTAGTTATTTCATAAACATAGATTTAATTAATTAAACTTCTCCGTGCTTGTTAACACGTATAAGGAAAACGCTTTACTAGGAAAAAGCCTAAAATGTTGTGGTATGCGGAATCGAGCGCATACTATGTAAAACTACTCGCTGCATGATGTAAAACTACGAATGGGAATCTAACCGAGCAAATATGATGACGCACACGGAAATTGAAGGAAATATAACAGACGTATACATTTCAATTCCATACTATTCTCTCATAAGCTTCGTATACGACAAAGAATGGCATGTACAATAAAGACTACATGGTTTTGTGTGATATTTATTGCTCTTTATGTCGTGTTTTCTCAAGTCGAAGCTTGGCCACCAACGTGTTATTCCAATATACGCTGTCCTAGCTCACAACATTGCTGTCAGCACAGATTCTGTCGAGACAATTGCATTGGCCAGCCTTGTTTCTACCGAACCGCTTGCGCGCCGGGTGAAATTTGCTGTAAGGGGACATGTGCCTTAAATTGTACAGCTTGTTTGTCCCATAATGACTGCACACCATACGAACACTGTTGTGGTCGGGCTCCTAATAGCAAATGTGCTACATCTTGTTCAAAATCGCCGTGCAAATCGTCAGACGAATGCGGATCAGACGAATATTGTTGTTCTCATAAAACATGCGCCTCAACTTGTTTCGGAGAATTTTGTTCGCTTCGTAGTGATTGCGCCTCGGATGAAATTTGCTGCAACGGAAGATGTGCCTGGTCTCACAAGAACAGCACACAGGATGAACCACGTTGTGGATCGGACGCGACTCGGGCAAATCCTAATCGCAAATGTGCTACTAAGTCTTGTGTTGGAAAGACGTGCAAACATGATTACGACTGCCCGGCGCGCGAATCTTGTTGTGCTTCTAACAAGAAATGCGCCTTAGATTGCATTGGAGAATCTTGTTTCCGTGACGGTGATTGCGGCTCAGGTGAATTCTGTTGTGATTCTGATAAAAAATGTGCCTTCAACTGTACTGGAAAATCGTGCTCGAAGGATAGACATTGCGCACCGCGTGAATATTGTTGTCGCTCTAATAAAAAATGCGCATCAGATTGTATTGGAGTATCGTGCAAAACTCGTCGTGACTGCGCATTCGGCGAAATGTGTTGTGGTGGAAAGCATAGCCGAAAATGTGCGCGATCTTGTATTGGAAAACCGTGTTCAAGGGATAGACACTGCGCGCGTGGCGCATCGTGCTGTAACGGAATATGTGCTTTAAATTGTTCAATTTGTTCCTCTCTTAGTGACTGCACTGAGGGCGAATCATGCTGCGGTCGTAAGCTGTATGGTGTGCCTAAACAATGCGCAAAATCTTGTATTGGAAGATCATGTACGTTAGATCAAAACTGCGCACTCAATGAATCCTGTTGTAATGGCAAATGTGCGAGATCTTGTATTGGATTATCGTGTGAAGAGGATTATGGCTGCGGATCAGGTGAATATTGTTGTGGTTCTAATGGAACATGTGCTTCAACTTGTAACGGTGAATTTTGTACCTCTAATGATCACTGCCCATCAGGTGAATCTTGTTGTGATCGTGGTCAAAGTCCTATTGGCAAATGTGCTAGATCTTGTATTGGAAAATCATGTAAAGATGATTACCACTGCCCATCAGGTGAATCTTGTTGTGATCGTGGTCAAAGTCGTATTGGCAAATGTGCTAGATCTTGTATTGGAAAATCGTGTGCAGGTTATTCCCACTGCAGATCAGGTGAATATTGTTGTTCTAATGGAAAATGTGCCTTAAATTGTACTGGAGAATTTTGTTCGTCTGATAGACACTGCGTATCAGGTGAATCTTGTTGTACGGGTCTTGGTAAAAATCCTATTGGCAAATGTGCTAGATCTTGTATTGGAAAACCGTGCGAAGACGATTCCCACTGCGGATCAGATAAATATTGTTGTGGTCGTGGTCAAAGTGGCGAATGTGCTAGATCTTGTAGGAGAGAATCGTGTAATTCAGATGACGACTGTTTTCCTGGACAATGTTGTGATAGCGATAAGATCTGTAAAGTGGGAGATTGCGACATAGCAGGAAGCGGGCGTGGCTGGCGTTTTAGAGTAACTGTAATTACCTCTGTTATTGCTGTCATTGTCGTCTTTCTACTAGTGATTTACTACTGTAGTCGTAAAGCCAAAGCAACGGCCTCTAGACGTCCCGCTCATGAAGATGAAACACAATCTGTTGTCCTTATAACCCGACCACAACAACAACAACAACAGCAACAACAACAACAACAGCAACAGCGACAACAACAACAACAGCAACAACAACAACAGCAACAACAGCAACAGCAACAACAAAAAGAACCCCCACCTCCATACCCCAATCAGCACCCACCTCCACACTCCAATGAACCCCCACCTTCAAATGTCAATGAACCCCCAC